GGGGCCCTCGTCCCTGCCCCTGGGCCCGGGTTGTCAGCCCGTCTCTGCCCTCGCCTCCCTGTGCCGCTGGCCTGGAGCGGTGACGCGGGGAGGCGCAAGGGTACGGTCTGGCAGCCCCGTCTAGCTGGGCCTTGCCCGCCCCGTGTCGCTCCTCTCCTGACAGGGTTTGCTGGGACTCCAGGATACCTCTCCCCCGAGGTCCTGAGGAAAGACCCGTATGGAAAACCCGTGGACATCTGGGCGTGCGGTAAGACCCCTTTGCCTGCCGCTCGGCAGCCACTCTGTGCCGCCCGGGGGTTGTTACCGGGGGGTTGCAGACAGAGCTGGTGTCGGAGTGCGGATTGCGACCCGCTTGCTCCTGGCGCTGTGCCCGGGGGCCAGCCGGCGGCCCCGCGTGCCGCTCTAGCTGCAGACTAGTGCTCGGGGCCAGGCTCTTCCCTACCGGGAGCTCTGCAGAACCTCCCGTCCTGGGCAGCAGCTGGAACTGTGACCCGTGAAGGGGGCGGGCGCTTGACGGCTGGGGAGCAGAGCTGCTCTTGGGGTGCCCGGGAGCTGAGGGCAGATGGGCAGGCTCAGCACGGGCGCCGCGGAGGGAGTGTTGAGAGGGCAGCCGGGGCGCCCAACGGAGGGTGGGAGTGCTCAGAGCGGGGAACCGGACCCCAACCCCCCTTTCCCTTGCAGGAGTGATTCTGTACATCCTGCTCGTGGGCTACCCCCCCTTTTGGGATGAAGACCAGCACAAGCTCTATCAGCAGATCAAAGCCGGAGCCTACGACGTAAGGACTCTCCCCGAGTACCGGTGTGGAGTGGGCCCGCCGCGGAGGCACTGTGCCGCCTGGGTGCCCCTCTGGTTTCTCTGCGGCCGGCGTGGTGTGGGGCAGCCAGGGGGTGGCGGCAGGCACAGGGTTGGGTCAGGAGCGGCCCAAACTCGTCTGCTCCGCGCTGGAGGTGCTGGCGGAGACACGGACGCTGAGGGCTCCGAGGGGAACCGGCAGGGTGTCACCCCGCCCACGTGGCGAAGGGCGCTCTGGAGACCCTGCCGCAGCGGAGCGACTGCTGAACTGCCTGGCAGCCCCGGTTCGGGGGCAGGGAGGTGACAGGGAACCGGGGTTCTAGCTGGATGCACAGCCGGGCTGTGCTCCTGGGACCATGGCAGGCAGGTGGAGGCAGGGGGCCCTGTGGTGTCTGCCCTGCACGGCCAGGGGCAGAGCAACAGCTGGGGGCAGCCACGGGCCTGCTCGGAGCAGCAGGAGATAGACCCAAGGGTGGGACGTTTCCTCTGGAATTCGGAGCCTCGTCTGCTCCCTGCCGAGGTCGGGCCTCTGTGGCTTTGCTCGCTGCGCTTTGGTGCAGCAGACGGTCCGTGTCCGATGTGTGAAGCGGGAGTGCGGCGGGATTTTCAGCACGCCTACGGCTGGAGCCTGGCTCTGGCAGAGCGAGGAGCTAAGCGCCCAAGGCCCCTACCTCCCGCTGGCTTGCCGGGTTTGGTCTGTCGCGTGCTGGCTGTGGCAGGGCGCGGCTCCGTGGGAGCAGGGCTAGCGAGCGCCCTGCAGCCCACTCGCCCTGGCGCGGGAGCTGTGCGCTGCTCCCTTCGGCCCCCTGAGAGAATGGGGAGTGGCCACTGGACTGGGAGCCGGGGTCCGACTGGCCTCAGCCCTGGGCTCCGTGACCCAGGCCGGTGCCCGTGGCGCTCCCTGGTGCGGAGCGCTGGGCTGAGCGGGGCAGGGCGGGCTCCCCCTTTTCGGCTCCTAGGCAGTGTGACGGCTCGTTGGGGTTTTCCCGTCTCCTGCACCCCTGTAATGGCACGAACAGACTCCACCAACCAGTAGAGCAGAGGGAGTTTATTGCTCCTCCAGGATACAGCCCAGATGTCATCTGGTTACAGGAACGGGGGCTAAGAGGCCTCGGGGCCCCCCCTTGAGATGGGGGATGGCTGGGCCCTAAAATCCCAGCCCCCCCTCCCCCGCACAGCACAGATGCAATCTGGTTCCAGGGCAGGCCTAGGATGCCTCAGCCCCCCTTGACATGGGGGAGCCTGGGCCCCTAAATCCCAGCCCCTTTCCCTAGGCTGTCTCCTCCATGCTCCCAGCCAGAAACTAACTCACTTCCCACCCTGCCCCCATCCAGGGCTCCACTCCCCTTCTTCCCATTGTTCTGCTCCCTGGGAGATAACTGGTCAGACAGGTTTGGAGCCCCCTTGCATAATGACTCATCCCTGCCCTGCTGGGCCGTGCTGCAGCCAGCAGCCAGCGGAGGTCACCCACAGCCCCCTGCCCAGCATAGCCACCAGCAAGGTACCCCCACTACGTCACAGGCGGAGGGGATGCTCGCAGCAGAGGCAGGGCGTGAGCCTGGAGCTGCGTGGACCCAACACCTGCGCGCTGGCAGAGCCCTGCACCCCAGGGGGTGGCTCCCGGCTCAGGCTGGCGCTTTCAGATGAGCCCAGCAGCTGTGGCTACCTGGCTGGCA